GGGACAGAGGGACAGTCATGAAGGACAGAGGGACAGTCATGGATGACAGAGGGACAATCGTGGCGGACAGAGGGACAATCGTGGCAGACAGAGGGACAGTCATGGATGGACAGAGGGACAATCGTGGCGGACAGAGGGACAGTCATGGAGGACAGAGGGACAATTGTGGCGGACAGAGGGACAATCGTGGCGGACAGAGGGACAGTCATGGAGGACAGAGGGACAGTCATGGAGGACAGAGGGACAATCGTGGCAGACAGAGGGACAGTCATGGATGACAGAGGGACAATCGTGGCAGACAGAGGGACAGTCATGGATGACAGAGGGACAATCGTGGCGGACAGAGGGACAATCGTGGCGGACAGAGGGACAGTCATGGAAGACAGAGGGACAGTCATGGAGGACAGAGGGACAATCATGGTGGAAAGAGGAACAGTGTCATGGAGAAAAGAAGGATATCAGTAGAGAAAGGAGGGACAGTGGTGGAGGGCAGAAGAACAGCCATGATGGACAGGTGGACAGTGGTGGAGGACAGACATACAGTAATGGAGGTCGGAGAGACAGTCCTGGAGGGCAGAAGAACAGCCATGATGGACAGGTGGACAGTGGTGGAGGACAGTCATACAGTAATGGAGGACGGAGAGACAGTCTTGGAGACCAGCCATGGAGGAGACAGAGGGACAAAGCCATGATGGACAGGTGGACAGTGGTGGAGGGACAGTGGTGGGACAGACATACAGTAATGGAGGTCGGAGAGACAGTCCTGGAGGACAGAGACAGCTGGGCTCTGTGATGGAAGTCCGACCCTCTCTGTGTAACGGATAAGGAGGGGGGGGGGGGGGTGTTGGGATTGCTGAGTGGGACAATCTGTTCAGCTCATTCTTTTAGAGAAGTAAAATTTATGGACCCCAGGAGGAAGAGGGGGGGGGGGGGGGTGTTCCTTGAAGGAGAGTTTCTTCTATTGGGGGAGGTCTGATTCTTATTTTCTTTATGACTAGAGTGAGGCAGGTTAAGTATTTCAGCATGTGTGCAGTAAATATCACTTTCAGCCTACAGCTGGGGAGGGGGTGTCGCAGGTTTGCTGGGGTCCCCCCCCCTGATTTCTTTCCATCTCAGGAATACTCAACCAAAATTCAAGCAATGTTTGCTGGTGGGCACTGTGCATGGGGGGGCGGGCTGGCATGGTGCCCAGGACTGAGTCACCGGGCACTGGACACAGCTGGTGGGTGAGAGCCTCTATACTCCACCTCATTAACCCCGAGAGGTTCACAAGTTTCCACCATCGCTATTATTTCCTGTAACAAACGAACGGTGAAGATTGCGAAAAGAGAACTGCGTTTATCATAGCGGCCAATCGGTTTAGGAGGAAATGAAGGCACTCAACTCACACTCAAGAGCATATGGGGCCCCCTACATGAGTTTCCAAATGGTCATTTTACTTCTTGTTGACCTTGGCTTGGTTTTCGGTCCATTAAAGAACGGTCCACCTAAAAGGGAGACTTCATTGATGGGTGGAGAATCCTGAGCTGGTGGAACCTGCTGGTATCTGATAGCTTTAGGCGATGGCCATGCCTGGTCTTCTCTGCTGCGCAACCTGCAGACTCGAGAGGTTTGGGATGTTACTACCCACCTTTGTTTGTTCCATCTGCTGTTCTCACCAGAGCCATCTTTGTTCAGGCTTCATCCAAGGTCACCATCGACTTCCTGGACTGAGAGAAGACAGAACCATATAAATCCTGGTGCCCATTAGCGATGAGCTCAAGGTTCAGTCCAGGGATGGAATGACAACTCATGAGGCCCCAGGACAATAGGGGATCATGGGGCCACTGTGTCTTCGCCCACACTCAAACCACTCCCAAAAAAAGCCTATGAAAGGTACCAGGGGCATCTCATGGGGCCCCCTACTGACCACGGGCCCTCGGGCCGTGCCCGAGTGTCCACATGGTCAGTCCGCCCCTGGTTCAGTCCGAACGAAGGCTGCTTGGGTGTTCATCTGACTGTTTGCGTGTTTGCCTGGATGATCACCGCTACTATAAATGGTAGCTTCCTTCCTGTCAATGGTTGCTAAGGAAGTAGTGGGTGAAGGCACCTACGGTGTCCCTAGCAACCAGTGACATCACCCCAATCATTTACTGGGCGGGAGTCCCTGGCCATGTAAAAAAACAGGCATGACATTGATGACCAAACAACGCCCTTTCCGTCAGTTTTAGTGGTGGGCCCCGGCATGCCTGGCAAGTCGACAAAGGGATGTCCATTGTTGGGTGGGATTTTTTTCTTCTGGTGGCCATCAATCACAATGATTGGCACAGTCCTGTATTACTGGGAGACACGATTGATGATGGATCTTTTTTTTTTTGTTTGGATAAGGAGTTCTATATCCCTCATTCAGTCACATGGTGTGGCAGATTGCGGGGGCCCCCACTATTGTAAAAGAATTTGAAGACCCCCCCACAACAACCCGAGCCAGGGGTCGTGGGGATGAGACCCTTTTCCTCATCAACATGGCAACAAGGTGTTCTGCTTCTTCTCCCTTTTCTTGGCCTGATGGGCGGCATTCTTGGATAAGGGTCTGGTATGAATTTCTTTTTATTGGGGGGTGGTAATGCTTTTTTCCTTTGCGGGGGGGCCCCCACTATTGTAAAAGATTTTGAAGACCCCCCCACAACAACTGAGCCAGGGTTGTGGGGATGAGACAAGGGGCGGACTGACCATTCGAGCACTCGGGCACTGCTCAAGGGCCCGGGGTCACTAGGGGGCCCCATGAGATGACCCTGGTACCTTTCATTGGCTTTCTCATAGGCTTTTTTGGGTGTGGGCAAGGACACAGGGGCCCCATGATCCCCTAGTGCCCGGGGGCCCCATGAGTTGTCAATCCGCCCCTGGATATGTAGGAGTTCTATGTCCCTCATTCAGTCACATGGTGTGGCAGATTGTGGGGGCCCCCACTATTGTAAAAGATTTTGAAGACCCCCCCCAAAACAATTGAGCCAGGGTCGTGGGGATGAGACCAGGGGCGGACTGACCATTCGAGCACTTGGGCACTGCTCGAGGGCCTAGGGTCAGTAGGGGGCCCTATGAGATGCCCCTGGTACCTTTCATTGGCTTTTTTGGCTTTTTTTTTTTCTCATAGGCTTTTTTGGGTGTGGGCGAGGACACAGGGGACCCATGATCCCCTATTGCCCGGGGGCCCCATGAGTTGTCAATCCGCCCCTGTATGAGACTCTTTTCCTCATCAACATGGGAACAAGGTGTTCTGCTTCTTCTCCCTTTTCTTGGCCTGGTGGGGCGGCATGCTTGGATAAGGGTCTGGTATGAATTTTTTTTATTGGGGGGGTGGTAATGCTTTTTTTTTTTTTCTTAAAATTTATACCAGACTTGAAGGATCTGATATGGAATTGAGGGGGCAGTTTTTTGCTGCATCTCATCAGGGATAGGCCTGCTCCCTGGGGGGGGGGGGAGGGGGGGGGGAGGAGACTGAGGAAATGCCTCCTCCTGCCTGCAGCAGACGGAAGGCTTCATCTCGGCCTAGGCAAAGTCACCGGACCGGAGCTCAAGGACGTCTGTTCATGATGAAAGGTGGAACCCTGAGGAATCATCTCGTGGTCCTCCTATATAGGGACCTGTCCGGGGTGTGGCCCTCTTTCATTCCCGTTGCTGATTGCAGGATGTAACTCTCTGTAACTGCAGTTCGTAAAAAACCGAATAAACGAGTATTTTTTTCCCTCGGCGCGGTGCGCACAATGCATTCGCTTTTTTTTATTGTCTCGTTCCGTGGTGGAATCGGCGTTTGTTTTTGTTGAGTCTTCAGTAGTGCGCCCGGCTGGGACTTGGGAAGAACATTTGGAGAGCAGGTGGGAGCCGGAAACACGTGGGGGACTCTGCGGCTCCTGTGGATTTGGCCTCATTATTAGTGGTGGACGTGCTGGGGCGTTATTAGACAGGAAGAGAGGGTGACGGCTTCTCACATGAGGGTGGCGGAGGGGGGCGGTGATAATTAGGCCCAGGGCCCCCTCTTCCATCGTCCCCTCCCAGCTTCTCCCCTGATTGGTTCCAGATCAGCATGGAGCTGCTTATTCTGCAGCTGGAGAACAGTGACTGATGGAATGTTTTCTTTCCCTGAGAACAATGTGGGGTCCCCTGAGATCCAGAGCACCTTTCCTGACCGCTGCTCCCTAGTGTCATCACTACATCGTTACATATGTGGGATGATGACATCACTGCCCGCCAAGTATGGGATGATGACATCACTGCCCGCCAAGTATGGGATGATGACATCACTGCCCGCCAAGTATGGGATGATGACATCACTGCCTGCCAAATATGGGATGATGACATCACTGCCCGCCAAGTATGGGATGATGACATCACTGCCTGCCAAATATGGGATGATGACATCACTGCCCACCGAATATGGGATGATCACATTACTGCCCACCAAGTCACCAAGTATAGGAGGATGACATCACTGCCCACCAAGTATGAGTATCATGATATCACTGCTCGCCAAGCATGGAATGATGATATTACTGCCCTCCAAGTATGACATCATTTCCCACCAAGTATGGGCTGATGACATCACTGCCTGTCAAGTATGGGCTGATGACATCACTGCCCACAAAGCATGGGCTGATGACATCACTACCCCCCCAAGTATGGGCTGATGGCATAAATGCCTGCCAAGGATGGGATGATGACACTGCCCGCCAAGTATGGGATGATGGCATCACTGCCCACCAAGTATTGGATGATGACATCACTGCCCACCAAGTATGGGATGATCCGCACCCCCCCCCCCCACCCCCCCCCCCCCCACCCCCCCGCACCCCCCCCCCCCCCCCCCCCCCCCCCCCCATCCCCCCCCCCCCCCCCCCCCCCCCCCCCCCCCCCCCCCACACCCCCCCCCCCCACCCCCCCCCCCCCCCCCCCCCCCCCCCCCCCCCCCCCCCCCCCCCCCCCCCCCCCCCCCCCCCCCCCCCCCCCCCCCCCCCCCCCCCCCCCCCCCCCCCCCCCCCCCCCCCCCCCCCCCCCCCCCCCCCCCCCCCCCCCCCCCCCCCCCCCCCCCCCCCCCCCCCCCCCCCCCCCCCCCCCCCCCCCCCCCCCCCCCCCCCCCCCCCCCCCCCCCCCCCCCCCCCCCCCCCCCCCCCCCCCCCCCCCCCCCCCCCCCCCCCCCCCCCCCCCCCCCCCCCCCCCCCCCCCCCCCCCCCCCCCCCCCCCCCCCCCCCCCCCCCCCCCCCCCCCCCCCCCCCCCCCCCCCCCCCCCCCCCCCCCCCCCCCCCCCCCCCCCCCCCCCCCCCCCCCCCCCCCCCCCCCCCCCCCCCCCCCCCCCCCCCCCCCCCCCCCCCCCCCCCCCCCCCCCCCCCCCCCCCCCCCCCCCCCCCCCCCCCCCCCCCCCCCCCCCCCCCCCCCCCCCCCAACCCCCCCCCCCCCCCCCCCCCCCCCCCCCCCCCCCCCCCCCCCCCCCCCCCCCCCCCCCCCCCCCCCCCCCCCCCCCCCCCCCCCCCCCCCCCCCCCCCCCCCCCCCCCCCCCCCCCCCCCCCCCCCCCCCCCCCCCCCCCCCCCCCCCCCCCCCCCCCCCCCCCCCCCCCCCCCCCCCCCCCCCCCCCCCCCCCCCCCCCCCCCCCCCCACCCCCCCCCCCCCCCCCCCCCCCCCCCCCCCCCCCCCCCCCCCCCCCCCCCCCCCCCCCCCCCCCCCCCAACCCCCCCCCCCCCCCCCCCCCCCCCCCCCCCCCCCCCCCCCCCCCCCCCCCCCCCCCCCCCCCCCCCCCCCCCCCCCCCCCCCCCCCCCCCCCCCCCCCCCCCCCCCCCCCCCCCCCCCCCCCCCCCCCCCCCCCCCCCCCCCCCCCCCCCCCCCCCCCCCCCCCCCCCCCACCCCCCCCCCCCCCCCCCCCCCCCCCCCCCCCCCCCCCCCCCCCCCCCCCCCCCCCCCCCCCCCCCCCCCCCCCCCCCCCCCCCCCCCCCCCCCCCCCCCCCCCCCCCCCCCCCCCCCCCCCCCCCCCCCCCCCCCCCCCCCCCCCCCCCCCCCCCCCCCCCCCCCCCCCCCCCCCCCCCCCCCCCCCCCCCCCCCCCCCCCCCCCCCCCCCCCCCCCCCCCCCCCCCCCCCCCCCCCCCCCCCCCCCCCCCCCCCCCCCCCCCCCCCCCCCCCCCCCCCCCCCCCCCCCCCCCCCCCCCCCCCCCCCCCCCCCCCCCCCCCCCCCCCCCCCCCCCCCCCCCCCCCCCCCCCCCCCCCCCCCCCCCCCCCCCCCCCCCCCCCCCCCCCCCCCCCCCCCCCCCCCCCCCCCCCCCCCCCCCCCCCCCCCCCCCCCCCCCCCCCCCCCCCCCCCCCCCCCACCCCCCCCCCCCCCCCCCCCCCCCCCCCCCCCCCCCCCCCCCCCCCCCCCCCCCCCCCCCCCCCCCCCCCCCCCCCCCCCCCCCCCCCCCCCCCCCCCCCCCCACCCCCCCCCCCCCCCCCCCCCCCCCCCCTATGACCCGCCATCCGCCATGTTACTCTTTTGATGGGCGGCAAAAACATGGCCAGACCCCTTGCTTTTACTGCATGTGTGAACAGCGCAGACAGTTTCATTTGACCTGATATCAGCCTTAATATCCTCTGTACAGCAGAGCTCAGACTGGAAGAGGGAGAAACATCACAGACCATCTACTTTTTTGTGCTCCAAGGCTGATGTGCTTCCAAGGGACATGCTGACAGGAGGAGAGAGCAGAGCGACAGAGAGCTGAAATGACAACAGCTCCTCCTTTTGGCTGTCCAATCACAGGCTGAGGGAGGGACAAGACCTGATGTGTTACTAAACTGCAGCAAAGAAAGAGCAGGTTTCCTGCCCTGCCAGGCCGTGCAAATCTCAGGACTGGATGGACAGAAATACGAACTGCTTGGCCCCCCCCCTTAAAACGACTCTCCCAGAAATGTCTTTCATCTGCCTTTCATTCGCTTCAATGAAATGAACTCGATCAGTCGATCTTGTTTTCTTGCAATGTGAAGAGCAGACAATAGGCAGTTCATGATCTGGAACCAGGGGCGGACTGACCATTCGAGCACTCGGGCAGTGCCCGAGGGCCCGGGGTCAGCAGGGGGCCCCATGAAATGCCCCTGGTACCTTTTTTAATGGCTCTTTTGGGTGTGCTTTGAGTGTGGGCAAGGACACAGGGGCCCCCATGATCCCCTATTGCCCGGGGGCCCCATGAGTTGTCAGTCTACCCCTGTCTGGAACCATTCTAAATGCCGATCCTGCGCCCCCCCTGTCCAGTTCACCCTGAATGACGATGGACAGCCTACAGAGAGCCGTCATTCCATCAATACAATGGCTTTTCATTGCTGCGTCCCTGGTGGAGACATTCTCCTTGCTTCCTGCCAAAGTGACACAACAGGAAGTGGAACAAAAAGCCCCCAAAAGGGCATATAGAGTAGAGCGCTTTTAAAACCGCCTAAAATTCTATCCCCCCCCCCCATCATTCAAAGCTTTGGGAAGAGTTCAGTGGATGTGTATGGCGGCATCCGCCACTTCCTATCTGCAAATTCCTGGTTCAGTCACCCGTGTGCGACCAGCTGCGGCCTCCAAGCCCTCTTCAATGACAGGTCAATGGTGGCCACAGCTGTCCGCCCAGAGGTGATCGCTGCTGGAAGCACGCAAATTGCATCCAGCAGACCATTTTTTTACCATTTTAACTGGTTGTCTGTGTGGTTTAAAAAAAAATGAAAGGAAGACTTTGTAATCCGAGTCTAGGATCGAGTCCATGGAACTCCCGGGATATGGATCTGGTCAGGTAAGTAGCAGAGGGGGGTGTTCATCAGTTTCAGCTGCTTTGATGGTAATGAAATTAACAACAGGTGCACTAGATGGGCAACAATGAGATAACCCCCCAAAACAGGAATGGTTTTACAGGTGGAGGCGCTCGGGTCAGTGTCACTACTGGTAGCATGAGGCCATACCTGGACCCTACAGAGGTTGCACAGGCAGTCCGACTCCTCCAGGATGGCACATCAATACGTACCATTGCCAGAAGGTTTGCTGTGTCTCCCAGCACAGTCTCAAGAGCATGGAGGAGATTCCAGGAGACAGGCAGTTACTCTAGGAGAGCTGGACAGGGCCATAGAAGGTCCTTAAACCCCCATCAGCAGGACCGGTATCTGCTCCTTTGTGCAAGGAGGAACAGGATGAGCCCTGCCAGAGCCCTACAAAATGACCTCCAGCAGGCCATTGGTGTGAATGTCTCTGACCAATCAGAAACAGACTTCATGAGGGTGGCCTGAGGGCCCGACGTCCTCTAGTGGGCCCTGTGCTCACTGTCCGGCACCATAGAGCTGGATTGGCATTGGCCATTGAACCCCAGAATTGGCAGGTCCACCACTGGCGCCCTGTGCTTTTCACAGATGAGAGCAGGTTCACCCTGAGCACATGTGACAGACGTGAAAGGGTCTGGAGAAGCCGTGGAGAACGTTCTGCTGCCTGTAACATGGTTCAGGATGACTGTTTTGGTGGTGGGTCAGTGATGGTCTGGGGAGGGATATCCATGGAGGGACACACAGACCTCTACAGGCTAGGCAATGGCAACCTGACTGCCATTAGGTATCGGGATGAAATCCTTGGACCCATTGTCAGACCCTACGCTGGTGCAGTGTCTCCTGAATTCCTCCTGGTGCAGTGGGTCCCGGGTTCCTCCTGGTGCGGTGAGTCCTGGGTTCCTCCTGGTGCGGTGAGTCCTGGGTTCCTCCTGGTGCGGTGGGTCCTGGTTTCCTCCTGGTGCGGTGGGTCCTGGTTTCCTCCTGGTGCGGTGAGTCCTGGGTTCCTCCTGGTGCAGTGGGTCCTGGGTTCCTCCTGGTGCGGTGAGTCCTGGGTTCCTCCTGGTGCGGTGGGTCCTGGGTTCCTCCTGGTGCGGTGTGTCCTGGGTTCCTCCTGGTGGTGGTGGGTCCTGGGTTCCTCCTGGTGTGGTGGGTCCTGGATTCCTCCTGGTGCAGTGGGTCCTGGGTTCCTCCTGGTGCAGTGGGTCCTGGGTTCCTCCTGGTGCAGTGAGTCCTGGGTTCCTCCTGGTGCGGTGGGTCCTGGATTCCTCCTGGTGCGGTGGGTCCTGGGTTCCTCCTGGTGCAGTGGGTTATGGGTTCCTCCTGGTGCAGTGGGTCCTGGGTTCCTCCTGGTGCAGTGGGTTCTGGGTTCCTCCTGGTGCGGTGGGTCCCGGGTTCCTCCTGGTGCAGTGGGTTCTGGGTTCCTCCTGGTGCGGTGGGTCCCGGGTTCCTCTTGGTGCAGTTGGTCCTGGGTTCCTCCTGGTGCGGTGGGTCCTGGGTTCCTCCTGGTGCAGACAATGCCCGGCCTCATGTGGGGGGGAGTATGCAGGCAGTTCCTGGAGGATGAAGGAATTGATACCATTGAATGGCCCCCACGCTCGCCTGACCTAAATCCAATAGAACCCCTCTGGGATGTCATGTTTCGGTCCATCTGACACCACCAGGTTGCACCTCAGACTGTCCAGGAGCTCAGTGATGTCCTGGTCCAGATCTGGGAGGAAATCCTCCAGGACACCATCCGTGGTCTCATTAGGACCCTCCCCCGACGTGGTCAGACATGCATACAAGCACGTGGGGGCCACACAGACTACTGAGGACCATTCTGAGTTGCTGCAATGACATTTCACCAACATGGACTCGCCTGCTGCATCATTTCTTCACTTTGATTTTCGGGGTGTCTGTGAATTCAGTCCTCTGTAGGTCGATCATTTTCCATCAAACGATGGGGCGTCCTTACGTTCCTCACCCATCCCCCGTCCATGTCAGGATAGAGATCCAGCAGGAGATTCCTCCCCATTGGGATCTGATGGGTTTTCAGAGTCTTGCTGTCATTTTTTGGTGTATTGTCATGGATACGGGAAGTTTAATGACAAATTTCAGGAACATCACAGGCTTGGAATGCGATTATTTCTGAGAAGGTGCCAACAATTTTGTCCAGTCCATATTTGGGGTTTTGGGTGAAATGCGTCAGTTTTGCTTTTTTGTTTCTCTGCTTTTTTTTTATGTCAGACCGATACAAACACAAGAAATAAACATGAGAATATAATATAATACGAAATATTCGGAACTGCGACAATTTTCTGGGTGCAGAAATGTGTGTGGGGGGGGGGGGGCAATATTTCAGTATTTTTGGCCATGACTGTATGACCTATGGCAGTGATGGGGTTAAATGATGATATTTACTATCTCCAGCCAGGGGCGGACTGACAACTCATGGGGCCCCCCAGGCAATAGGGGATCATGGGGCCCCTGTGTCCTTGTCCAAACTCAAAAAAGCCTATGAAAAAGGTACCAGGGGCATCTCATGGGGCCCCATACTGACCCCGGGCCCTCGGGCAGTGCCTGAGTTTCCAAATGGTCAGTCCGCCCCTGTCTCCAGCAGAGACATAAGATACAGGAGCGGACTGACCATTTGGAAAGTCAGGCCCGGGGTCAGTAGGGGGCCCCATAGGCTTTTTTGCATGTGTGGGCAAGGACACAGGGGCCCTATGATCCCCTATTGCCCGGGGGGCCCCATGAGTTGTCAGTCCGCCCCTGATATGAATCTGGATCTCCTTGGGTCAGCCGGTCATACAGCGATTATTTGTAGCGGGTTGTGCCAAGCTGGCCATGTGCTAGTAGACTGACACCCCGGGTCGCACCAAACCTGACTTTGAAATCATGCGACTTACAGTGAAGCCGTGCGATTTCAAAGTCGGATGACATGTTGATTTCAGGTGCGATTTGCAAGACATCCGACACAGGTGTCTATGCAAATCGCATCGAAAATAGTGCATGTGCTACTGTAGAAATCGGTGCGACTCCGGCCAAGTCAGAACTGCACCGATGTGACCACTGTAATTACAATAGGGTGCGACTTGTCATGCGATTTTCAAGTCGCATGGCATGCAAATCGCATGCCAGTTCTCATCCTGTGCGACTGGGGGCTTAGCCCTGGTTCACACCGCCACGATTTCAGATGCGATTTGAGAATTGAAATCGCACCTGAAATCGTATCTAATGAATGTGGATGTCGGTGTCTTAATCAGGGGCGGACTGACAACTTATGGGGCCCCCGGGCAATAGGGGATCATGGGGCCCCTGTGTCCTCGCCCACACTCAAACCACACCCAAAAAAGCCTATGAAAGGTACCAGGGACATCTCATGGGGCCCCCTACTGACCCCGGGCCCCCAGGCGGTGCTCGGGTTCCCCAGTGGTCAGTCCGCCCCTGGTCTTAACACATGCGATTTGCTGCGGTTTCTAAAGTAGTTCTTGTATAACTTTTTCTGCAGTTTGTTGCGATTTCACATACATAGACTACAATAGAAATCGCACTGCGAAACGCAAGAAATCGTTGGGAAATCTTCACAAGTTGCAAACAAATCTTCAGAAACTCGGTGAAATCGCAAACAAATCTCGCAATTGTAAATCGCATCCAGTGTGAACAAAGCCTTAACCCCCCCCCCCCCCCCCCCGGTCACATCAAGCC